AAAAAGGATATTTTTATTTGTTAACTTGTATAATTTAATATTAAAAAAAAAATCTTTTTATTAAAAGCTTAAATAAACTCAAAACTATAAGTTACAAAATATATATGCTATTTAATTGAAATATAGTGTTATAGGTGAATTCATAATTCTATAAATTCAAAACCTACTTAAGCAGATTACAAATCTTGAGTTGATTTTAAATTTTAAAATATTATTTAAATAATTATTCTTATACTAAACTTGCTAAAGTAATATTATTTGGATTTTTATTGTCGTTATACAAATATTTTATTTTTAAATTTTTATAGATTTTATTATAGAGTTTCTAATAATGAGTTGTCTACGAAACGAGCTTGTCTAGGAATTGGTTGGTTGTGAAACAAGTATATCGATGTGTCTAAAATGAGCGTCGGTGAAGTGATGCAGCACCGAACGAATTAGTTATTTAATTTTACGAGTAGAATTAATTGGTTGAAATATCGCGAAGGAATTTTTTTTATTTGAGTTCTTGGGTATAATTACATGTATGCTTTTATTCACGGCAGCTAGAATCAATAACCTATAACGGATATTGATATTTCTCAAAAAGTCTCAATAATTCTATTAAAGACACTAACTATGTGCAGTTTTTTTAATATTATTAAGTTCAATATTCTTTTTTTAACATCAATTATTTTTTTATTCATATACTAAAACTTCATCAATCAATCATTTTCAGATTTTTGATCTTTAAAACCAAAAGATTTATGTTTCTCAAGCCTACTATTTAAAGTATGTCGTAATCAGGGACATGTGCAAAAAATACTATAAATAATTCTCATGGGACACTCTTCTAATAGAGGAAATTCATAATAATAAAAAATTTAATTTTTCGGTTCCACTAAAACTGTACAAAGGATTTATTAAGATCCTATATTTCAAATCCTTTATTAAATTACCTTAACTCACAAGAACTGGTTTTACGACTTTTGCGTAGATTATCTGCGCACCGTTAAATTGTGGAAGAAATAGCCTATCATGAACATAGGGACATTTGAAAAATTTAATTTGGAGTGAATTTAAAAAAAAAAAAAAAATTTGATAAAAATATAGTCAAATAATTATCGCATTAATATATTAAATATAATGCAGTAATTTAAGACAATTATAGGTGAAGGTCACTTACCAAAGGCAAAATATGGTCTTGAAGAAATAATAGAATGGATTCCAATAGAGAATGAAATCAGAAAAGAATTCAAATATTTTCATGGAACCGAATACAGTCCTGAATCAAATCAATATTAGATATATCAGTCAAATGGTCAACTTAAAAATGAATAAAAAATTCATTACTTAACAAAAAATTGAACTCCTTACCAATATGTTAACCATTGAGCTTTGTCTGTTTTGCCTTCAATAGCTTGAAACGAGGCATATGCTATGTTGAAGAAAAATCGCAAAATTAGTCTATATTATTGGTATATTAATGGTATATTAATTTTTCAATCCATACCTGGATAAAGCCAACCGACAATATCAGAAAGTAATTCCCCAAGAATGTTAAAAAATATCAAAAGAAATGCGAGACTGACAGCGCCACCAACAAGATAAGTTTTTGGAATTTTAGTAAGTTCTTCAACTTTTATCAACAGAGGATGCCTTGAAAGTTCTTTATCTGCTTGAAAGTAGTAATAATGAAATTTATTTGGAATTTCCTCCATATTTATTGAGCGTAAATTAAATATAAAGTTATAATCTTTAAATCTGAGTCGTGAAATGAGAAGTACTCTATTTGTTTAAAAGGCAATTATTACGTATAAATACCTTTTGAATTTTCTTTATTTGTTTACACAATACGTAGTACAAATTTTGAAACATAACGTAACACTAATATGATCGATAACGATAATAATCAGGCGCAGATATACGATAAATAATATACGTAATTGATAACCTATCGAGCCTAGGGTATATAATAATAATAATAATAATAATAATACCGTACAATTTTTCCGGCCAAAAAAAGACTGGCCATTTTGGCTGAAAAACACATGGGCTGATTCAAGGAATTGCTGATATCTCTTGATCTACTGGTCCATTTTGGATGTTTTAACTACTAAAATGTTCATCTCAATGAGATGATTCTAACAAGCATAAAAACGATAAAATCCAATCACAGGATCCCAAGATCATTCAACTTTTGTGCGATTTTAATAGTGCTTTTTAGAATTACTATGTAAATGCCTTTAATGTTGAATAACTTTTGATATACTGATCCGTTTGGGATGATTTAACTATCAAAATGTTCGTCTCAATGAGACAATTCTAGCAAGACCAAAATCGTTAAAATCCAATTACAGGATTCTGAGATCGTTAAAGATCAATACAATGTAGACAATCAACTGAGAAATAGGTTTTTATATATGCAACCCATTTTTAGCCGGGCACCCGATTTCAAGCGATCCGGGTAGCAGGCTTGCATCCGGTTCGTAACTCTAATTTAAATACACATTATTATTTCTACTATTCCCAACACGCCAACCATAGTATGTGTTATGGTGATTTGAATGACCATAGTACGAGTTATGGTGATTAGAATGACCATAATATGAGTTATGATGGTTAGAATGGCCATTCTGTCTTAAAGACGACCGCAGTTGGTTTGAAGCAGAATTTATTGTTACTCTTGATCCGATAATCCCATTACCGTGATTTGTTTGTCTGTAATCAATGAATTGCATTTGTGTTAAGTTAAGAAGTGCAGATCCAGGTACTGTCATTCCACGGTACTGGGAACACCTATTTAAAATGAAAGAAATTTGAATCGGGCATATATACAAAATCTCAACAAAATATTAAAATATGTACAGACCTATCGCCCAACGTTGAACCACTCATAAACGAAGTGTCAAAAACCACGTCAATATTGTTTCTTTCAATGCCGACCACTGTACCTTTAGCTGCAATCGGGACGTTACCAGAATCCTGGACAAGTATAACACGATCACCGAGGCTAAATTTTTGGCCTTGTAAACGTGTTGAGGAATGTTCTGGTTTCAGTAATACCTTAAATAACACCAAAACTTAGTTTGCATTAATTTTCATTTTGCAAAATTAGATCTCAAATATTATAATTAGCTAGCTGACATACATCTCTTGGGACTTTTTGAATAACAAGTTTTTTGAAAGATTGTTTTTTAGTAAATTCAGTCGCTTCTTTTTCTATTTTTACTATTGCTTCCTAATGGCAACATATCATGCAATGAAATAATCAATATAAAATTTATTTGTTATGAAACAAGACATCGAAATTACTTACCTTGTCCAATTGTTCGGCATCCAGTGATACCTTCTCAAAGTCTCTTACTTCAACAGTTTTTAACCATTCTTTGATGGCATGAACTTTGGAAACAGCGTCTTCTTCAGGATAAAAATCTTCAGCAGAATAAATTTCTAACCAAAAAAAAGGAGGGAATAAATTAAATTTAAAAATGACCAAATCTTTTGGAGCCTACAATGAAAATAAGGCAAAATTACCATCTTTATGCTTGTCTTCAAGAGCTTGAATAAATTCCGGGAATTTTTGCTATAAATTTAGATCCTTTAATATATATGAATATCTATTTATTACAACAATCATCATGTTACCTTATATTGTGCCAAAATTTGCATTGCCTTTTCACTGTATTCCCACCCAGAATCTCGCGATTTCCTTGTAT